GAACCGGTCTGCATGTGGGATCCGAACCCTCGGCGGGAGCGCCACCGCGCTTCCTAAGCGGTGCACTACAGCAGTGCGCCACCGGGCCGGCCCCTGAACTTGGATATTTTTAACTTCAAAATCAGCTGTCCAAAGACATATTTTAAACCACTTTTTAAATTTTATATGAATTGGTTCGTTTTTCTGATTTATACCGTGGATACTTATAAAAGAAAACAAACATAAACAAACAAACAAAAAACACTCCAGTGATTTCATTTTACCTACCAGAGTCCAAACGATGTAGCTAAATAATGCTGGTGTGACCTGCCCTATTGTGACTCCTGTACCATTTACCTAAACCCAACTCAGTACTCTCTAGTTAAGATGAAACATTCACTGTTCCTTAATACAAGCCCTATCATGGCCTACGTTTCCCATTGTTTGGGGTTATTTCCTAAGGCTGGTAGTTTCCTCGAAACCACTTCCACCAGTTTAAGTCCTAAAGAGTTATTTGAATAATATTTCACATAGGTTTTGTTAATTTTTCCGTTCTGTATAATGTCCCTTTTTTAAAAAAAAATTTCTAAAGCACTTTACTTGAATATCTTCTGGGAAATTAATTAAACTCTCTGAAACTCGGTTTTCTCACTTATAAAGTAGAAGTAGTAATTCCTAGTTGCAAGTAAAGGTTATAGAAAAATGAATGAGATGCTTCCTAGCCTATCGTATGGAAACATAAGATGCTCTCAAAATAAAAAGTTCTACTTAGAATCCCTGCCCAATTCATGAGTCTCTTCATGGGCTTCTGGACAGTAATATATATGTATAATTGCTGTATTTTCTTCTTTTAAACCACATGTCAACAAACTATGGCCATCAGCCAAATCCAGCTCACTTCCTGTTTTGTAAATAGATTTTGGTTGGAGCGCAGCCATTCCTATTCCCTTATGTATTGCCTATGCCTGCTTCCACGTTACAACAGCAGAGTTGAATAGTTGCAAGAGAGACGTTATAGCCCACAAAACCTAAAATATTTACTATCTGGCTATTTACAGAAAAGTTTGATGACACCCCCCTGCCAGGCTATAAGCTCCTTGAGAAAGGACAGTGCATACCCCTCATGCAGCCAGCACAAGTTCTTGTTAGTGGCTAAGAAATATTTCTTGAATTATTTTTATTTCAGGGGATATAGCACGATGAACAATTCTGATTTTTAAAAATTCATTTCTTCAGTGGATTTCACTCCTTCTAAAAATGGCATACGTTCTTGGGAGTTCAAACATACCTTATGAGTAAATAGAATAATTTTGATGTAAGCATTTAGTCAAATAAAATAGTTCAGATTTTTTAAGGGCTTGCTAAGTGCAAACGTCACTTTTATTCAGTTCTTAGAACAAACCCTAGATGCTAAAAATCATTATTCCATTTAACTAACAAGGAAATTATTCATATAGGTTAAATAACACATTTCAAATGGAAAAACCAAATTTCAAAGCCAAGTCATTACTATTTTATCTACTGTATATTTCACAATCTTGATTAAGAGATTTTTTATTTGTCTGTGTTTCTACAGTGGAAATATCTGTAGTGTTCTTGAATGGATAGACTGATTTTCTCAATGATATTTTGTTCTTTTTCAAAGTTCTGGGGTTAGCACTAAAAAGAAAGCAAAAATTAGTGATCCCACCACTGCAAACCCATACTCATTCATAATTAGTTTCTATCTATAACCCAGTTTCTTCTATAGCACTTACTACTATTGATAATTATCTTGCTTATGTATTTGTTTACTTGTTTTCTTCTTGTCTCCCCCAGTAGATAATCATAGATAACTTCATAAGAGCAGGACAATGCTGTTTTATTCACCATCGTACCCTCAGCACTTAGTGTAATGTTGGCCACATACTAAGAACTGAGTAAATTTGCATTGATGACTGAATTGAATAACTGAACCTATTTGGCATCTATGACTATTAAAAAGTCCTTTGTCTTGAGTCAATACAACAGTCCTATTTAGCCAACTTAAATGTCCTTCGAACATAATCTTCAACATTCTCCATCTTGCAGAGTCCCAAGCTTTGCTGTGTTGTGTCAGGGGCATCTCTACAGTGGTATCAAACTTTTCTGGCCACCAACCCTCAGGAACCTAACCAATAATTTTGATTATCTCATTCTTTGATTTTCCCCATCATATTTAAAAGACCTCACTTTTAGCCCTCTTAT